TAATCATTATTATTATTATTATTACTACTCCTACTACTACTACTACTACTACTACTAATAATAATAATAATAATAATAATCTTAATACTATTATTCAGAAACATCTTATTAGTACATTATTATTATGAAGGAAACATTTCTGTGATGATTACATAACATTCTCCATATTTAAACATGTTCTGTATTATTTAAGAAAAGAAAAGACGTGTTGGGGGAGATCCAGGAAAAATTCCTTGAAAAAAAGCCTAGAGGAACATTAAAAACTCTAGGAAACATTTTATCTAATCAGTATTATAAAGAAGTATCTAAGATACATTTGGAAAGTGAAGATTCAATTGTCATATTACTGATTGAATAATTACCTATCCTGATATCATGTTAAGTAGGGTTCAGAACCTTTCAGAAGTTCAGAGCCATCTGAAATGTTTTAAATACTCTAACTTTTCTGTATATATACGAACGTTGGAGTAAAGCATTCTTTTATATATTTCACTCCTGTTGTATGGAGTCATCCTGTGATTATTAGACGAGATTAGGTAGCCGATTTAAGCATTCAGTCAAAAGATTTATCAAAAAGAAAGGTAAGAAACATGAAATGTGTAAATAATTTAAGGTATATTTGTCGAACAAAATAAGAAGAGACTGTAATATGTATAATACAATTTATTTATTTGAATACATCGATAGTGATATAAAAGGGAACCGAATACATATGCATAACACAAGTCACTTTATTTGTGTATTGGGCTGTGATACTGTCCGAGTGCTCAGACCAAAACAAGTGGTTTTATTAGGAGGCCACACACAGAGACTTTGACCTATAGGTCTGGTCCACAAGGCAGTAGAGAAACTTCAGGAGATGCAGTCCCATGGTGGCCGGTGACCAACGATTGATTCCTACGCCATTTTTTCCCTCAGGATCTTGAAGCTCATGTGCACCATTGGTTTGGAATAAAAGTTGTCCAACTTCCCTAGGTGGACTCTCCGTGTCCACCAACCAGGTTAAAGTGCCAGATATTCACTTTTCGTCCTCTCAATTTAGTAAATAACACCCGTTTAACGAGAAGGTAGTGAGTAGGACTTCCCCGACAGTGGCTGTATGCACGTGGCCATGTGAGAGCATTTCGAGAGAGAGAGAGAGAGAGAGAGAGAAAGCTAAATCTCCCCACACTCGACCGTACCTGGGCATACAATACAAAAAGAATTAAGAATATATCATTCATGTAATAAGATTTGATATAAGAATAAGAGCTTATCCTGTGATAGTTTTGAATGATACGATGAAAGTTTCAAAGAATTGTAAAGAATTATCGTCAAGCATCGAATTGTAAGGGTCATATACACGTGATGAATATTTGAAGTAGAAATTTTTAGCAAGAAACTCTGAATTTATGTAGAAGCTAAAAAGAGAAAGTGTAGAGTTTGATTCCTCTCTATCTGATCCTAGTAGTACTATGAATTTACTTGAGAATATTCGGAAGCTAAAACAGTGTTTTTTAGTAATTATTATAAACCACAGCTACTAGAGAGGCAATCACATTGGGCGGTGAGTGATTGAGTGAGTATACGTGCAGAACGTCGAAATATCTATTGGTAATTTCAATGTTTAGGATGATGAGTGGATTAAAGCTAGATAACCATGAAAAACCTGGAAGCACAGGATGGTCGTTTCGCCTTATTAAGGGACTCCACGATCTCGACCTGTGAGATCCGAATCCATGATGGCCTAGCTTCAATTGACTCATGATCTCAACTATTGCAATTACTATAATATCCACAAAAAACCCTTCTGATATCTATATGTATATCATGAATGTTAATCAATTGTGGGTTAGTTATTGATTGTCTATGTTTACAACCAATGGGAAGACTGAGGTGAAGGTATACTGTGGGCTTACTAAAAGAGAAAAAGAATTATCTCAAATGTCAGGGTATCAATCATGACATTGGTCAGTAATAAATATGGACATTTATGAACTTTTAATATTTAACTTAATGATTGAATTCATGAGTCAATTGAAACCAGGCCACCATGGAAAACCTGGAAGTACTGGAAGGCCGTTCCATCATAGTTTGGGACTCCACGGCAGTGCACATCTGCCAGATTCGAACCCATGATCTGTCAGTGAAGAAATTTCAAAGGTTCTATTTATCTGACAGCCCATTAAATAGGTTTTCATGAAATTGGTTCCCTTTATGACTTAAATAGATACCAGACATTTTTGTGTAGATCCTTGATAACTATACTGATATTCAATAGATGATATAAATCACTCATGGACAGAAATTAATCAATAGGACTTTTAAACTGTGTTTTACTTTTACTGTGACGGAGGTTTGATACGGGTCTGTGTATAATGAGATAGTGAAAAATCTATGCAGAAGGAGATAGAAAAGTGATAAACAACCACAAAATATGTGACGATTTGTTAAAAATTTTTTCAATCATATCCAACCAAGGCAGGCTCAAGGTTATCACGAATTTCTTCTGAACACATACACTAGAGTTATAGTTACTGATCCCGTGAATATTTGCTCTGTTTAAGATGCAACATCAATTCCGATTAGGAAGTGACGAAAGTAAACGACAGACCAATCAAAACGATTTGATTCTATCTATTTCATGATCACTATCAACAAGCTATGGCAAGATGGAGCTATGTCTTCTAATTCTGTCATTCCGAAATAACAATAATGGTTTGGTTGTGATGTAACTCTTCATGAAATGAAGAAGTTATAACAAATAGCGTTACGTTTGTGAAGAATTTTTTTACAATAATAATTAATATCAGACCGGCTTTTTTTGTGGATATTATAGTAATTTCAATGGTTAAAATCATAGGTCAATTGCTGCTAGACCACCATGGAAAACCTGGGAGCACTGGATCGCCTTTTCATCCTATTGTGGGACTCCTCAGGGGTGCGCACCCACGACCTCGCCCTGTGGGAGATTCGAATCCAGGACCTGCTGGTTCCTCACGCGAGCACCTAGCCACTAGATCACTGAGCCGGCACTTGACGGTATTAATGTCTAACTCCAACTAATTCGAAAAAATTGAGCAAAACATCCAACATTGTCCTTCAGACTCATGATCCTAACCATTGAAATAATAATTAAAGTGCAAATCGTACATGGAGGACAGTTGACAGACTCGTTAGAAGTAATGGCCGGTGTCAGGCAAGGTTGCCTATTCTCATCCTTTCCCTTCCCCCTGGTGATCGAATAGATTATGAAAATGTCAACACCTAAAGGCTTCATCATAAATAAAAGGTAAAGCAAGATTCTGCGGCACAACGCAACATGCAACAATCAATTCACACTTGACGGAGAGGCTTTGGAGGATGTTAACAACCTTTACATATCTGGGCAACATCGTTGATGAACAAGGTGGATCTGATGTAGATGTGCAGGCAAGGATCAACAAATCAAGAGCAGTATATCTACAATCGAAAACATCTAGAACTCAGAACAACTATCAACCAACACCAAAGTCAGAATTTTCAATAAAAATGTATAGACAGCTCTACTGCGACAGCCATCATCTAGAAGATACAAGTGTTTATTAACAATTGTCTACGCAAAATACTTCGGATCTGTCGTTCAAACACAATCAACAACAACCTACTGTGGGAGAGAACCAACCAGTTACCAGTCGAAGAAGAAATCTGGAAGCGGATAGGACACACAATGGGGAAATCACGCAACTGCGTTACAAGACAAGCCCTCACATGGAATCCTCAAGGTCAAACGAGGCTAGGAATACCAAAGAAAAAATTATACCGAGAAATGAAGACAGACATGAGAAGAATGAACAAAAAGGGTGCAGGACAGTGTGGATTGGAGAAGGCTGGACAGCGGTCTACTAGGAGTAACAGTTGTAAGCAATTAAAATTTCTAAAAATAACTATCTCGGTTTATTAGTCAATGAGAATATAAATTTGAACGCATTTATTTTTCAAATCGTTTTATTTCTACCTTCTGATAATAACTAAAGACTAGTTAGTGTTTATATCTTGATAGCTATTCATTGTAACAGAAGTTCAAGAGTACTCCAGATGTTAATAATTTAAATCCCACTGATATGTGGTTATGCGCTGCTGAGGAGTCCTGCAATAAGGACGAAACGGCCGTCCAATGCTTCCAGATTTTCCATAGTGATCTGGCTTCAATTGACCCATAATCTCAACTATTGAAATAACTATATTATCCACAACAAACACCTTCTGATATTATTCAGCATATGCTCATCAGTGACTGGCTTCAAGAGGTATTTCCTGGAGTTCTAGTGAAAAGTACTGATCAGTGAAGTTCAAACGGGTCTGTTGTGAGATAGTAACACACTAAAAGAAATGGTAGATGTGTCGCTCAATTTCGTGAATTAATTGAAGTCAGACATTAATAACATTGAATTCCGGTCGGATCATTGGTCTGGTGGTTAATCATTCGAGCGCGAGACCAATAGGTCGTGATTTGGAATCTTGCGATGCGTGATCGTCGATGCGTACTGTTGAGGAGTCCCATACTAAGATGAGTTGGCCATCTAGTGCTTCCAGATTTTCAATTGACTAGAATCTAAACAACCACCCCATTACTCGTCCCCTTTTGATGATATATCTACATAAGATTATCTATTCGATAAAATCTTAATCATTAAAATCACATGAGTCCAAAAGTTGGCATAATAAAACTTATACGAAAAAGAGAATTTCCATTATTTTTCCAAAAACAAGTTTCGTTATTCTCATCGTTGTTGTTATTATTATTATTGATAAAAGTACTAAACTTTCAAGATAATTTGACCGGGAATCACAAGATTTTCAAGTGTTAAAATGATAAACCAATGATGTAATTAACTAATTAATTACATCATTCATAGTTTTGAGTATATAAATGAAGTAAGTAATGATGGCAAAACTACAACTACTTCGACTACAACTACTGCCACCTCTACTACGACTACTACTGCTAATAACATAGACTAATACTCTATTCAATGAAAATGATATCCTATTTATCATCTCTATGTTTGATTACCTTATTAGGTTTTACATATTCCGAATATGTTTGTCAAATTATGCCAAATATTACAATGGTAAGTATTCAACAAAAAATAATTATGATGAGACTATCATTTATAGACGACGTTTTAGTGACACTGAAGTGACATTGAGAGTGAACATCTACTAATTGTGATTAAATGAGGGTTATGGAGCAGTTAGAATTCTCATTTACAGTTGATGGTTAGGATTAAAAATTAGATTGTGGTTTCATCACAAACTAACATCAGCTATATTAGTATAGAAGTTGTGGAGATTATTAAGTTTTTGATTGAGATTATGAACCGATTGATGTTAGACCGCCTTTGAAAACCTGGAAGCACTGGACGGCCGTTTCGTCCTATTGTGGGACTCCTCAGCAGTGCGCATCCACGATCCCGCTCGCGGGATTCGAACCCAGGGCCTTCGGTCTCGCGCGCGAACGCTTAACCTACTGTATGAATGAATTTCGCGCTTGAATTAGTTACGCATTATCTTATATTTGATTGGTTCATCCATAAATTATAGACTGGCCAAAATTATTTCAGAAACGTTTTTGTTTTCTTTTTTTTTGTAGAATTTCGGTATCTTGGGTGAACCAATTGATAAACGTCAATATGGGGGCAATCAATTAAAATTTATTGTTATATATAGGCCAAGTATGGAAAGGCATCCTCTGTTTCAACAATTCAAGGTATCATTGATTAGTTTTAATTTCCTATTGTTTTTTTTAAATTATATAGTGTATTATATGCTCATTGTCATACTTGCTTTAACTTAGTTTACATTGAGTCATGGTTAAGTACTTACATACTAACGTATGTTACTCCCAATGGAGCATAGGTTGACGAACAGGATTTTCCGATTCCCCCTGTCTTAAACCTTCCTTTCTACTTCTATCCAAATGTTGTTCATTCTTCTTATATCTCTCTCTAATTCTCGGTGTAATTTGTTCTTTGGTTTTCCTCTTCTCTTTTGGCTATGAGGACTCCAAGTGAGGGCTTACCTTGTGACGCAGTTCGGTACCTTCCTCAATGTATGTCCTCTTCACTTCCATCGATTCTTCTTGATTTATTCTTCCGCTGGAATGTGGTTTGTTCTCTCCCAAAGTAGGTTGTTGTTGATAGTGTTCGATCAACGGATCCAATGTATTTTGCGTAGTCAACTGTTAAGAAACACCTGAATTTTCTGGATGATGGCTTTCGTAGTTCTCCAGGTTTCTGCCCCATACAGTAGAACTGTATTGACAATTGCATTGAAAATTCTGACCTTGGTGTTGGTTAACAGTTGTTTTGGTATGTAAATTAACCATGTAGCGTATCGAAAAATTCAGCAGTCGATTATTATTCACGAAAATGTAAATTTCTGTTAGCTATCTGTAGTAATCATCAATAAAATGTAATTTAATAGTCAAATTTATGATTCAATTGAAGCTAGATCACTATGGAAAACCTGGAAGCACTGGACGGCCGTTTCGTCCTAGTATGGGACTCTTCAGCAGTGCGTATCCTTGATCCCGCCTCACGATATTCGAACCCAGGACCTAATTCATATATTTAGAAACTAATTTTGAGACACTAATTGAATGTTGCATCTGTTGGATGACATTTTTCCACTGTATACAAAGAATAATCAATAAATGTACTTTTCGTTGTATCTACAATGTTAATTGAGCATCTATCACGATCACTTGCCGGTTTTTGGATGACTTAGAGGTTATCGTTTCTGCAGTAATTTTCACCACGTTGTACTGATAGATTACGTTAAAGAAGCATGTTTGTAGTGAAAATACATTAACTCTTTCATGATCTTCAATACTTTTTTGCATTCGTTTAGACTCAAGTAGTAGAAAAAGCCCTTAATTTTTGGCAAAGAACATTAAGCGTTAGAAAACCACCAAATAGAAAATTGCTGATTGAAAGGTAAATAGATTGTTATTGGGATTTTATGGTGATTAATTTTCTAATAATAAACTTTTTTAAACCAATATCTTTTCATTATTTAGAAGCCAATGTTCCATATAATTAAGGTTATTAGGACTTAGTAGCTAAGTGGATAACGCGATATCGTTTGAAGTGAGCGGTACTATGGGTTCGAGTCCCAGAGTGAATATCAACTCAGGGACACAGGTACATCCATCTGATGAGTTCCAAACAAGACGAAACACGAGTCCTGCATTTCACTGCTAGCCGCTATCCATCATTACTTATAAAGTATGCGACTTAAGGCAATATCAAGGCAATTCGCACAGGATGCACATATGCCAACATAAGACTGATCAATTGAAGTCCTAAATAACAATGGGAAGGTACAAATAAACAACACAAAATAAAGTTAAGACTATTTGTTTAATAAAACATTTATTTATATACATGCAGTAAGCCTTAATCGATTCGTTAGAATAGTAGTAGAGGTAATATTGACAGTTCTGCATTGTTACTTCCAGGTATTGACGTTAACAATATTAACAAACCTACTTGTAATTTAATAGTTGAATTCATTAGTCAGTTCAAGCTAGCATAGCAAAGCATCAGTGCAACTCCTTGTGTATTTAGAGCATTTTCTTCTTTATGGCCGGAGTATAACAGTAGCTCCCCTGAAGCTAGAACTCTGTTGTCCAACCTCCGTCCAATGTGTTTCCTTAATTCCAAGCACCTTCAGGTCGTAACTCTTCATTTGTGCAGCACCTTGGATGACTTTCCTGGTCTCCCACATTCTACGAACATTCCATGTGCCTAAGTGAATGGTTGATCTGGTTGTCAGAAGGGCCACCAGCCTCGTGATTTCAGAAGGAATTCGGCTTGCATCATGAGGCTTCATAACTCTTCTAACTCCCAGGATATATGTTAAACGGTTTAAATTATTTTATTCGGTTAGTGTTTTTTAGCGAGTTATTTTTCTACGGGATGGTGTCGCTAACCCTATACCCAATCCTCCTCCTTTATCCGGGCTTGAGACATGCAGTAAACTCAGAGGGGCTCCAGTCGTAGTTCGATCAAAGCTAAGCCACCAGAGAAATCTGGAGACATTGGACGGACGTTTCGTTCCAATGTGGGACTTCTTAGCAGTACGCATCGACGATCCTGCCCCACGAGATTCGAACTCAGGACCTGACAGTCTCGAGTGCGAACGCTTAACCCCTTGACCACTGACACCAATCGCATCCAGAAGTAGATACTTACATTTAATGTTATGAATTTTCTGTAAGTTATAGTAAAACACATCCTCTCTATCGCACTATATACAGAAACTAAACTGTATTTACATCACAAGTGGCAATGATTTTAATAATACTAAGCAAGTTAACTTCAAATTTTATTATACATAAAATGAACCTATTATTAACACTTACAGTATCTAATTTAAAACAATTTCGAACTAAGGTTTCATAATCCGATCTTCCACATTCACAGCTACATTTGGCTAAATCTTCTACAAATGTTGTTTCATATTTTATGGTACAATGTGGTGTGTTTGATTTGTATATAAACCCAGTATGTTTGAAATACATGATTCATATCGCAGAGACTGAGTTTGGTGTTCTGGACGTAAAAGACAGGGCTAGGCGGGAAGCAGGACCAATAAGGACTCTAGACTACTCGTCAAGGTTTTATGCATGATTGGTCTGGTCGATAATTCACTGTTCTCTAATTGGCGGTATCATTACGTCATACACTGATAGGGGCACAAACGCACAAGTTATAACACTTTCTATCTTGACAATTATAATAAATATAAACCTTTGTACTATGTTTACTGATTATTTTACAAAATATGTATTATTATTTTTACAGAGGATGCGCTGAACCAGTCTTTTACACAGATGGTAGAACAGGTAAAAAGTTCTGTAAATCACAATGTAAAAAACAAGCTCTATGCTATGATCATCCAGTTCCAGATCAATACTCTTCCGTAAGTTTAGTTCATACTAATTATAACCATATATGCAAATTTCACATTTAAATCGGTACATGAATCTCATATCAGCCTATACTCTACTGTGATTAACAGATTTGTTTATATAAACACATGAACATTGGTACAAGGAAGCATCAAATAAATATGCGCAACGTAAGCAACGCAAGGAGTTGGAGTCACATAGTAGTCGATAACCAATAATTGTTCTATACGCCATTCGTTTCCTCAGGATCCTGGATCCCATGTGCACTATTGGTTTGAAATCAGGGTTTTCCAACTCTACTAGGTGGATCCTCGATATTCATTAACGCGGTTAAAGAGCCGTACATTCACTTTTCGTCCTCTTAATTTCGTAAACAACACCTGTGTCACGAGAAGGTGATGAGAGGGGGCTTCCTTGGTTGTGGTTGTATGCACGTGGCCATGTGAGAGCATTTGGAGGGGGAGAGCTGACTCTTCCCACTCCCGTCCTTACAAGGGCATTTAGGGGCTGGGGAATAACAAGCATAAATAAGTAAGTACGTAATCCCATATCATGATCAGTGACATCAAAATGGGATGAAATAAGATTTTCTATTTTCTATTGTTAATTACTTTCAGAGTTTCCAATCTAGTAAGCATCTGTGTAATTTTTATAAGAGATATCTTATAATCATTTCAAATGTTTTTCTCTCTATTTTAAATAACAGGGATGTGCTGTGGGAAGTGGAGGTGACGATATAAGAGATGTTTATCAAGACGGTCCAGGATTCGCACCAAATGAATATGTTCTTTTTGTTGAAAGTGAAAATAAACAAGGTTGTCTATCTGGATCAACATTAGCTTATGCTGGTCCTTGTGAAATGCATCCTACAACTGATAGGTAAGAAAATGTATGGTTTATAATATGAAGTCTTTTAAAAAAAGTGTTATTCATTAGTGTAAAAGTATATTGTGTTCCTCAATACATCTGATCATCAAAAACTAAGCAGTCTTGGTAGAGATTTAGGTGAGACTATAATTTATGGACGACCTTTGAGCGACACCAAAGTAACTTTGAGAGTGTCCACCCAATAACTAGGATCAAACGAAGGTTATAGATCCGTGTGAGGAATTACAATTATGATTTACAGTTGATGGTTTTTGGTTATAAGTTAGATTTAGGATTTTCATCACGAACTGACTTCAGCTATAATCCCAAAACTCTATTTAAACAAATGCATGAGTGAATTTCGCGCCAAAATCTATTACCTTTTATCTTATACCCGATTGGTTCGTCCATAAATTATAGTCTCGCCGTAATAAGTTCCAAATATTAATAATTTACATATGAATAACTATTAAAGCATAAATAATTTAAGAAAGGAGTTTTTGTGGATATTTTAGTAATTTTAAAGGCTGATCAAAGCTAGATCACCATGGAAAACTTGAAAGCATTAGACGGTCGTTTCTTCCTATTGTGGGACTCTGCAGCAGTGCGCATCCATAAATAATTGTAATGTAATTTTTGATTTGAATGAAAAATATGATGATTCATTCAATACGAGTATTCATTGTTACAACCATTGCTTAGTACACTGAAATAATAATATCACATTTGTTTTAAATCAAATATATCTATTATTATCAGTTTAAGAGTTGTGGAGATTGTTAAGTTTTTGATTGAAATCATGAACCGATTGATGTTAGACCACCATCAGAAATCTGGAAGCACTGGATGGCCGTCTCGTCCTATTGTGGGACTACTCAGTGGTGCACACCCACGATCCCGCTCGCGGGACTCGAGCCCAGAGCCTTCAGCCTCGCGCGCAAACACTTAACGAACTGGACCACTGAGCCGGCACCTAATGGTGTTAATGTCTACTATTAGTTTTTTACTAGTAAGTTAAAGGTTCCAAGATTAGCTGATCACTTTTAACAATCATATATACTTATATATATACAAACTAGTATCGTATACTTGTTCAAATGTGAGACTCAGTTAGTCAGTCAACAACAACATGTAACTAAGTACGTGCGTACATGATTTCAAGTTGGTATACCACATTAGCACAGCAATACAATTGTTGATTCAAATCCCTTAGTGGTAGACGTAGTAAAAGTATAAGCAGCAATCGGAAAGATTAGGGTTTGAAGATGTTATTCAAGGAGTATAATTCAGTGAAATAAATTTGGAAAGACGAGAAAAATGGGGACATGATTAATTTAGAAGATTAGAATTTGAGAGAACACAAAGAGTGGATGGATGTGAGTCATTGCAAACGATTTTGAGTCATGTCATTCAAGGTCTCTAATTGTCAGTTGCTATGGTCTCGCGGATCCCCAGAACCAGGTAGTCTACACATACTAACATGGTTCAGTCCAACTGTCATTGAATTCTTGGATTTGTTCTATATTTTGATCTGGCCGGCCCTAGCTGTTTTCTTCACTATCTATGTCTTGTCAACTACCAAATAAAAACTGCAGCTTTTATCATGAATTAGTTCATACAACATATTACATATAAATGTATTTGTATATTTTTTGTGTTTAAATTCTAGACCGATTATGGGTTCAATCAATTTCTGTCCTCAAAAAATGGAAATTCAAGAACCAGGAAAAACAATGTTAGTTGGCACAGCTATACATGAACTAGGTCATGCTTTGGTAAGTCATTATACTATTGATAAATATAAATTAGACATGAAGATATTTGTTGAGTTGAAGTTTTAATTTAATAAAGTTAAAACTCGATAGTTTAAAATAAATTAAGCATTGAGTAGATTGTTACTGATCTGAAATGATGTTAGTTTCGTAATTTCTCAATCATTGAAGGAAATGATTATCAGTATGAGATTAAGGGTTCGCACGCGAGACCGAAGACCCTGAGTTCGAATCCCGCGAGCGGGATCGTGGATGTGCACTGTTGAGGAGTCCCACAATCAGACAAGTTGGCTGTTCAGTACTTCCACGTTTTTCGTGGCGTTCTAACTTCAATTGACTAATGATCTAAACTATGAAAATTACCATAATATCCACAAAACCCCCTATTATAGTTAACTTTACTCCTTAAAATGATAGTCTATATTAAAACCGAATAGTGATGAATAATTAAAGGGAAATTTGTAATGGTATCTTGTCATGAATGGTTGATAACATATCAGAGTATTCAAAGGAAATTATGTAATAACTGGCTAATTTGGAGATAGTCGTTTATATGGTAGTCATCATGAACAAAATAATTAAAAGTTGTTGTTATAATTGATTAATTAATGATTATGAAAGTAGTTGAAAAGAGATAAAAAAACCTATGGGTTATGGAAGAAGGAAGGAATGTTAAGACCGTAGAAGACTATGGAAGAATGCAAGATTGAACATACTGTTCCTTTCTAAGGCAATGATTACTCTTGAACTAGTGATTAGTAATAACCTCTACTATACATAAGTTTTTCATCTTAATGCTTCTTTAGCCGACTATGATATGGATGATTTTTAAACAGGCTTCTACAGAACTTGTTTTAGCTATACATAATCCATCGTTCAGCTGGGCTTTCCAATGGAAATTCAATTCAATAATTATTAATTTAATAGTTGAATTAATGAGTCAATTAAAGCTAGACCACTATGGAAAACCTGAATGCACTAGACGACCGTTTTGTTCTAGTATGGGACTCCTCAGCAATGTGCATCCATGATTTCACCCTTTGGAACTCGAGCCTAGGATCTATCGGTCTTGCGCACGAACGCTTAACCTCTAAACGACTGGGCCGACCGACATCCAACGGTGTTAACGTCTAACTTCAACTAATCCAGGAAATTGAGTCATCATCCACTATATTATTGTAGATTATGTGGAGAAAGTGAATACATTGCAATAAGATAAAGTAGTATAAATCATCCCATAAAAACAAACTTACAAATATTATAATGTAATTTATATGGGAACATCTTCTAAGTTAGAATAACGACAAATCATTATCAGAAATGTCTATCATAATCACATTTATAAATCTGTCGTGAATTTGATTCATTTATACATTGATTCATTGGAACAGAAGAAATACCATAGTCTAAATAGCTGTTTTTCAATAATAATGATACTTTGTTCTTCAACTGACTGTATTCTTATTAAAATGGATAATCTTAATACATTACAGGGATTTGTAAAATCAAATTTCGCATTGATGCGTGATCTAGATGGTAAACCAAGAACACCAAGAGATCCTAAATCAGGGAGGCCACCTTTAAATAATCAAAGACAATATGATGCAAGGTGAGATATATATATATGTTTTTTATTGACTATAATTTCATATTCGTACTTAAAAGGTTTGAATGATTTTTTCTGGTTAGCGTTTTCTAGCGACTTCGTTTTCTACGGAATGGGGTCGCTAATCCCATGCCCAACCCTCCTCCCTTATCCGGGCTTGGGACCGGCAGCAGCCCCTGGGGGGACTCCAGGCGGAGTTAATTTCATATTCGTAGTATGATATAAATTATTTGAAAATTTGTGTCTTATGCACTTCCAGTGATTATTCCTGATTTCTTCCTCCACTGGTATCTGGTATGTTCTCTCTTACAGTAGGTTGTTGCTGATAGTATCGCTCTCATGAATCCAAAGTATTTTACGTGAAATTTATGTTATAATTCAGGAATTCATTTAGTACTTTCAATGCAATGGGTTATTCATAACAATTTAATCATTTGAAGATCCCAATCATACTAAAAGACTAATATTTGAATGGACAATTGATTATATATTGAGATTAGGTTACTTTTTTAAAGAATGAAGTGAATATTCTTCTTTCGTCACTTGTATCTGCATGTAATTCATTTCTCAACACATCAACAATAAGAACGTTAGATAATTTTTAGAAGTATGTTATTGAAGTCAATCTGTAGCAAACATAAAAATTAATCTAATTCTAATTAGTTGATTTTCATTAAGTAGGTCAATCAACCATAACAGTCAGTCAGTCAGCTACAACATAGGACCAAGCACATATATGCATCGGTTCAAGTTGCCATACCTCATTAGCACAATAAGATAAACACTGGATTCATAGAAGTGGTTAATTCAGTGGTGGTAATATATAAAAGAAGGACATAGTACAGGAAGAAAGAATTGGTTGGTAGAAAGAAAGATACGAACCGATTTTAGTCTTAGAGTTTAAGGGAAGACAGAGAGTGTATACACCGACGCCATTGTGATCGATTCTGAGCAATGTCACACAAAGTCTCCAACCATTGGTTACGATAGTCACGCGGACCAAAACCGAGTAGTTTGCATCCATCAACGTGGCTCAGACTAGAAGTTAGTGACTTCAAGGACTGGTGCCACGTTTTGATTTGGCCACACCTAACTTTCTTCTAACCATCCACAACACTAGTCATCATTGCGCGTCGTGGTAATCGGTCAGACATAAATTGAATAAGGCAGTCATCATAAACCCGAGTATAAATGAATTCAGTAAAACCTAAGATACTGAATGATAAAGTTAGTTATCAAAACGGATAATAATAATAACTGATAGATCTGCTTCAATTATCATACTATAATCTCTTATTTTCACATATTTTTGTTTTAAAATCAAATTCTTACTATCTATATTTTATATTATTTTTTTCAGTGAAAATACAGTCAGAACAATCAACCGTCCATGGGTTACAGCTGCCGGAAAATTTTCAAAATCTTTCTTATCTTTTGTTACACCAGCTATGCTCGTGAGTTCTATCTACATACACTCATTCAAATCTTATATCACCTTCATGCTTTACTTCAGTTTTCCAGCTATTTGTTATTAGAAACTTGACTTGTTTACATTGTTCGACAAAATCCCGATGTATTCTAACTACTGTTAAACTGAGGACTAATTACTAAGTTTGAGAAGGTCTGATTGAAATATGAACCTTGATGATACCAATCTAGAATTATCCCACATCTAAGTATAAGATACTTTCAAATTATTTGATGATAGGTACATTTTATCAACAAGGATTATTGAAGACATTCTATATTTCCATTCTATCACAAATTCGAAGCAATAACCTTCTATACTAGGCAACTATTTTAGTCACACCATACAGTTAAAATCATGAATATGTCATGAAAAAGTCATCTGAATGAAAGATACATCAGTTATTGAGATATTATATGATATAAGGAAGAAGTGTTTTTAACTCAGGATTCATATATTTTTAATACAGGAGGAAGCACGCAAACACTTTAACTGTCCTAATTTGGATGGAGTTGACATAGAGAACGAAGGTGGACAAGGAACAGTTGGTACACACTTCGAAAAGAGAGTAGTTGGTGTAAGTTAAATTAAATTTCATTTTTTACAAGAAGTAAATTTCTCGTTAAAATAGATTCGTCAGTCACAATTCGTTTATGATGTTGTCTACATGAACAGTTTTAATTTTATTGATAAGACTTATTCGACTGACCAATATGTGTTATGTATAGAATCGATTAATCTAATGTAGCATAACTAGACAATTTGAACTGCGCAGATGACTTAGCTCTTCTATACCATACACACCAACAAATGCAGGTCAAGACAGTTAATATAGTAGCATTCTCTACAGGAGTAGGCCTCAACATATAACACCAATTCAATCATATTTAATTGAAAAATTCTAGAACAGGTGAAAACGTTTGCCCACCTGAACAGCATCATCGATGAACAAGGAGGATCTGATGCAAGTGTGAAGGCCAGAATTGACAAAGTAAGATCAGGATTCTTACAACTGAAAAAAGTAAGGCACTCACACTGACTGTCAGTCAGCATCAGAGTCAGAATCTTCAATACGAACGTGTAGATAGTTCTACTGTTTGGAGCTGAAACTTCCAGAACTACTACAACCATCATGAAAGAGGAATAGATATTTATAAATAATTGTCTAGACAACATACTGAGTGTTCATTTACCAGATACCATCAGCAGCAGCTTACTATGAGAAAGAACAAACCAGCTTTCATCTGAAGAAGAAATAAAGAAAATTCGCTGGGGGCAGTTAGGATATACATTTCGGAACTCATCAAGCCGTATCACGAGGCAAGCGGTAACTTAGAATCCTAAAGGGAGACGAAAACGTGAAAGGCCAAAGAACACACTGCATCAGGAATGGTAAGCAGATATCAGAAGAACATATAGCGGTTGGAAACAGATGAAAATCATTGGCGAGAACAGAGTTCGATGTAGGATTGTGGTGGGCAAACTATGCTTCTCTACGAGGGCTAACAGGCGTAAGTAAGTTAGTAAGTAATCAACTCATTACATTACATTCTTCAAAATATGATAAAGTTGATTCATTTACAGTAATCAATAAGTAATGATATGGCGTCCTTTATTTCTCTGAGACTATCCAGTGTTAACTGTTCAGGAATATTATTCATAAATTTAATGTTATGATCTCATAAAATCATTAAGATTAAAGTAAAGTGTATCAAACAATCATACAATGAGTTAATTTACTACTTGTAATATATAAATAGTATGTATATGTTGTGTATATTGTAGGATGAAACAATGGCAGGTGTTACTGGAGTGAAAACTGTAATGTCAAGGCTTACATTGGCATTCTTCACAGACTCTGGGTAAATTAATACAATTCAGAAAACAATGTATTATCTAATATTTCATCTGCTTTTTTTTATGATCATGCTTAATTTATTTGGATTTTGAACTTGATTATACTTTTCATAAACTAATATAAGGGTTCTGAGCAAAGATAAATAGTGGCTAGCAGTCGAAACCAGGAATCGCGTTTCGTCCTATTTGGGACTCGTCAGCTGGATGTAAATGCATCTCCTAGTTGATATCCACTCTGTGACTCGAGACCAGTACCGTTCGCTCCAAACGTCATCGCGTTATCCACTTAGCTACTGATTCCTGATAGCCACTTGTTTGTGCAGTGAGGTGGTGTTTGAATTATCTTGTTACTTTCTTACTTGAATTTTCCTATTGATGTTTAGGACTGCAATTGATCGGTACCAGGTTCGAGTCTCAGAGTGACACGAGAACTCTGAGATGCAGGTACATCCAGCTGATGAGTCCCAAATAAGACGAAATGCGCGCCCTGAATTCAACTGCTAGCCAATATCCATACTTGCTCCGAATACTTGTGACTTAAGGCGATAAGCACAGTATGCTCATATCCCAATAAGAGACTGATCAATTACAGTCCTCAACATCAACGCGGAAGATTCAAGTAAACTATATATGGGTTATGAATTTTACTGTTTCAGTAACTGATAACATTTCATTTAAATTCATAAATTGCTTGATCTACTTGTATTCATTTCAATATTACTGTAGCTGTGTAATATTCTACAGAAAAATTATTTAAAGCAATCAGTCCCTTTGATATATTTTGATAGTGCAATCTAGAAGACGAAGTTTATCAGAACAATGTGATGATATTTTAGCGCAATACATCTCGAACAATCTGAACAATCTAAATCAATGTGTGTGTGGCCAAATATTCATAGGGAGGAGAAGTAATCGTGATCTCAAAATCAGAGTGTGTGGATATGTACCTAAATGCTTACAGAAACAAATAAAATCAAATGACCCAATAAGAATAGAGGATAAAAATCTATCGTCCTCTGTTGGCAAACGCATAATTGAAACAGGTCATAGAATACTTGGATTCATGGCATAATCACTGAATTGGAATATGAATACAGAGTGATCTTGAATGCTGTTAGAGGTATGAGAACAGTTATCATTTCCCGGTTGCCCACACCGTGGAAATGTCCTCCTGGGAATACAATAGATAATTGTGTGACTTTTTGAGACCAATAGTTTTTTTAGTATGATATAGAAACTATGATTAAGCCTGGGCGGTGTTTGGCTCTCCTGTTAAACAGGATTGAGCTGTACTGTTTGGGTTGTCACATGAAAGTTTGGATGGTGTCTGGTTCACCTGAAAACCAATGTAAATTATATAACTATAACTATAGAAACTATAATCCCATTAGAAAGTGGTTATCAGTTATGTATGAAAAATAATAATTTCTTTATTTCATCTTTTTTTCTTCCATTCAATTCATTAAGCTGGTGGGATGTTGACTATTCATTGGCTGAAGCATGGTATTATGGAAAGAATTTAGGTTGTAGCTTTGTTATGGAAAGCTGTTATGCATACATGATGCGAATGAAACAAGCGTAAGATCGATTGGTTTTATTTCCGTATATTTTATTTTTGATCAGTTGTTACTATGTGATCTGTTATATTTAATAATGGTTATTGAAATAGTTATCTGGTTGCCAATAATCTTTGAATGAATCTCTAACAGAATGTTTCTTATTTTAGAGGAAAAAGTACGGAACCCTACTGTGATGAACCAGATACTTTAAAATGTTATCATCAAAAAGCATTTGGTATTTGTGCTGTTGGACGGTTTACTCAAAGTTTACCACCTAATGAACAATATTTCAAAGATCCTTCTCAAGGAGGGTCTAGTGTATTAACAGACAGATGTCCTATGATCCAGGTTAGTAGTATGATGAGACTATAAATTATAGACGATATTTGAGTGATGCCAAAGTAACCTTGAGAGTGTCTACTTACTTACTAGGGCTAAATGAAGGTTATAAAGCAGTCTGAAGAATAAGGATTATGATTCACAGTTGATGATAAGGGTAAGGAATTACAATGAAGATTTTTCATCAAGAACTGAAATCAGCTAAAATGCCAAGACACTATTTGGCCAAATAGGTGAGTGAATTTCGCTCCAAAATCAAACACCCATTATCCTAAATCTGATTGGATCGTCCATAAATTATAGTCTCGCCAATTTTGTTCCTAAAATATCTATGATACTCTTGTCCATGATCTCTTGTCTAATCTGATTTAAATCATTCATTTGGTCTACATTTTATAAAAATGTAATATGTAAGGTTTAACGGAAACTTTTCATATTTAACAAACGGTATAAGAAGAATTTACACTTATTTGAATCTTATTTTCTACACCTTGATGTTTCAGTAGAGTTTTTGACTGTTTACATATTTAGTAGTTGAATTCATGAGTCAATTGAAGGTAGACCACCATAGAAACAGGAAGCATTGGATGTCCGTTTAGTCCTGGTATGGGACTCTTCAGTAGTGCATATCCACGATCCCACCTCGCGAGATTCAAACTCAGGATCAATCAGTCTCGCGTGCGAGACATTTGTACATTGTGTATTTTGAATACATTACTTTGTTCTATACATTTGACATAAATTTATATTTCTGAAATATAAGCATTTTGTACAAATCAGTCAAGTACGCTCACTAATGACTATCCCCAATAGGTATTTCCCGGTGTTCTAGTGAGAAACAGTGATCAGTGGAGTTCAACTGGGTCTGTTGTCAGATAGTAACTCACTGAAGACAATGCTCAATTTCGTGGATTACTTGAAGTTGGACATTAACGCCATTGGATACCGGCTGGCTAATCGTTCGTGCGCGAGATCAATAGGTCGTGGGTTAAAAACTTTTGAGACCGGATCGTAGATGCTCATTGCTGAGGAATCTCACAATAGGATGAGTCGGCTTTTCAGTGCTTCCAGGTTTTTCATGGTGGTCTAGCTTCAATTGACTTATGATCTCAACTATTAAATTACGAAAATCTCCACAAAACCCCTTCTGATATTATAAAATCTTCAAGTTTAGGCTATATAACCGTAATATTTCTGGAATTACGTTGGCCTATCCATCACCAACTTGTAATAGAATAAAATACCTATCCAGTTTCTTTTTAGTTTTTACTGGTTATCTAATTTGCTTTATTCATAATCTCAATAATAAAATGGTTTTCGGATTATTGTATGGCTTATTGTCAATCACAATGATCAAGTGGAAACAAGCTGATAGTTTATTTTCATCACAAAATAATCTCAGTTGGCATATTAGTGAAAATTAGTAGGTATAAAATAACTGATTCATTCTAGTATGAAACTCCGCAGCATTGTACAATGAGGTTGGAATTGTAACGCTGAACCTCCGCCCAGTAGTTCTAATAGTTCAGTATTCTTCTTAAAGTCCGAAAGCACTCTTTTCGATTTATGTTGAGTTAGTGTTAGTCTACTCCACTGAAATCCCATACTAAAGAGAGACACTTGAGTAACGTTCATTGGTCTTTAAGTTTACTCTAACTGAGAAAAATGTATGACGAATAGAACTCACTAATTCAACAAACATCCGGTAAATCCCTTCAAAGAAACCAATTCATTAGTTGAATGATAAGATTCATCCTATAGTTAGTTAGATCAGATTGCTATAGTTACTGTTTATTCAAGTGTATATTGGATTGTATTCTGGAACAAACTTTGTGGAATCAATCTATTGAAATACTTTCATACTTTTTTCTTTTGTCCTTTAAAAAACAGCCTATGAGATCCTTTTTCAATGAACCAATTGTAACATACTGTGATCATCAGCTTAATATTCCTGTCGGTAAGTAATTAGGTAGCTTTCAGATTTTTAATGAAAACCAGTAAGTAGTCAAAGGCTATTCAAAAACATTTACATCAACCGTTTCGATTTATTTATTTAAATACATAAACATTGATACAAAGAGGCATCGAATAGATATGCGCTACATAAATCATTCGATTTATGTGAGGGCTAGGATACTGTCCGGGTGCCCAAACCAAAGCAGGTGATTTCCTTGGGCGGCCACACCCGAAGCCTCTGATATAAAGCCCTGATCCACAAGACAGTGGAGGAACGTAAGGAGATGCAGTCTCATGGTAGCCGCTGACCAGTAATTGGTTCATACGCCATATGTTTCCTTAGGATCCTCGAGCGCATGTGCACTATCGGTTTAGAATCAGGGTTTCTCAACTCTCTGTGCCCGCTAACCCGGTTAAAGCGCCGTATATTCGCTTTTCGTCCTCTCAATTTCGTAAACAACACCGGTGGCGCGAGAAGGCATTGAGTAGGACTTCTTTGGCAGTGTCTGTATACGTGCAGCTATGTGAGAGCACTTGGCGAGGGAGAGTTGGCTCTCCACACTCTCGGCCGTACCAGGGCATTTGGGGGCTACTATTTCAATATAAGGTTCAATAGTGATAAGTCTTCTAATTGAACATTAGATTCGGTTCCTAAGCCTTTCTAGTTATCCTCAAGCTAAGTCCACACAACGACTTGAACACGTGAGAAAAGATGCGAAATACGAGAGAAACGTTTTATGTACAGAAAATCTAGGGCATTTATAGCATTTTAGACTACCTCAATTTTCCGGAAATTTCTTGAATGTTACTAAACAAATCAGTATAGGTAATCATCCAAACAGAAACGCGACATGTGACTAATCACTTTCTATATGTTACTAGTAAACTTTCTATTGAATGTTGATTGGATAAGATGATTCTTAATGTTTTCAGGCAGCAGCCTCGGCTGCAGTAGGTCTCAATATGCACAAAGAGAAAAGCAAGACTCTCCGATACAACACAGTATGCACCAATCCAATCACAATTGACGGCGAAGATTTGGAAGATTTAAACACCTTTACATATCTAGGCAGCATCATTGATGAAAACGGTGGATCTGATGCAGATGTGAAGGCGCGGATCGGCAAAGCAAGAGCAGCATATTTACAACTGAGGAACATCTGGAACTCAAAGCAACTGTCAACCAACACCAAGGTCAGGATTTTCAATACAAATGTTAAGACGATTCTACTGTATGGGGCAGAAACCTGGAGAACTACGAAAGCCATCATCCACAAGATACAGGTATTTATTAACAGTTGTCTACACAAAATACTTCAGATCCATTGGCCGGACACTATTAGCAACAACCAACAGTGGGAAAGAACAAACCAGATTGAAGTGGAGGAAGAAATCAGGAAGAAGCGCTGGAAGTGGATAAGACACACATTGAGGAAGTCACCCAATCGCGTCATAAGGCAGTTCCTCACTTGAAATTTTCAAGGTCAAAGGAAAAGAGGAAGACCAAAGAACACATTACGCCGAGAAATGGAGATAGACATGAGAAAAATGAGCAAGAATTGGATGGAATTTGAAAAGAAGGCACAAGACAGAGTGGGTTGGAGAATGCTTGTCGGCGGCCTATTCTCTATTGGAAGTAACAGGCGTAAGTAAGTAAGCAGTGTTTTCAGAGCCTTCTTTTTGGCTTTTTTTATAAGGAATTTTCTGGACACAACTGTAACACCACTGAAATCTCTATCCATTGTAGTAATTTAACATATTCAAAAGACAAGTTTATCTATAGCATAAATCCTAGAACATATCACATACATTGCTAATAAATAAATAAATTTTACAATTTCTATTTCGGTAGCTCAAAAAGGAAATATGTTTGCTCAAGATTTTGGAAATCATTCATTATGTATTATGCATAAAGGAGCATGGAGAGCTCAAATGAATGGGAGAGCAACAAATGATCCTCGAGTTAAAGCCACCTGCCATCAGGTAATCCTATGAGAAGTATGTTATATGTTATTACATAATAATCATGATTCAATTGAAGCTAGATCACCATGGAAAATCTGAAAGCACTGGACAGTATTTCCTGAAGTTCTAGTGAGAAACAGTGATCAGTAGAGTTCAGCCGAGTCTGTTGTCAGATAGTAACTCACCAGAGACATTGGTGTATGTGTCACTCAATTTCGTGGATTAGTTGAAGTTAGAGATTAACACTGTTGGATGCTGGCAGGCTCAGTTGTGTAGAGGTTAGGCGAGACTGATAGGTCCTCGATTAGAATCTTTGTAGGCCGGATCGTGGATGCGCTCTGCTGAGGAATCCCACAATACGACCAGTTGGCCGTTCAGTGCTTCCAGATTTTCCTTGGTGATCTAACTTCAATTGACTGATAATCTCAACTATTGAAATAAATAGTGTTTCAACATAAACGTCAATGTCAACACTAGATGTAAATTGCTTAACTACTTATATGATTGTGTATTGTTGCTTAGATCTATGTGTTTACTCCCTTATTGATCACTAATATTTCTTCTTATTTATTCATTTCAGTATTCATGTTCTGGTGGTCTACAAGTGATTATTAATGGTAAACCATTCCCATGTAATTCAGGGGTAGCTACAATTCAAACTAATCAAATTCAAGGCGAAATTATCTGCCCTGATCCTAATGTTGTTTGTAGGGTAAATAAGTAGAACAATAATGATATTTGATTCTATTTTTTCATTTGTATTTCATTATTAAACTAATTTATCATGAGTAATAACCTTAGAACTATTTTTTATATTATGGGACTGTCAAGCGGTGAGGATCCACGATTGTGACTCGTGAGATTCGAACCCGAGATTTACCAGTCTTGCGCGCATTCGTTTAACCGTTAAACCACTGAGCTGGTATCCAACCGTTTTAATGTGGATGCACACTGCTGAGAAGTCTCGCAATAGGATGAATTGGTCATCCAGTGCTTCTAGGTTTTCAATAGTGGTCCAGCTTCAATTGGATCATAGTCTCAACTGTTGGAATTACTATAATATCCACAAAAAACCTCTTCTGACATTTTTTATGTGTTCAGAAGTCTCCAATTTCATAAGTCCTTAAATTCATCAAAAATGTGTGCTATCTGATTGTTCACTTAAGTTAACCGTTCAATTAATCAACTAACAGGGGATAGAATTGACATCAAAACAGCTTGGAAAACGTTGTATAGAAATTCTCAAGAATAATTGCTCAAGTTTATTGAAGCCTTGGTTATTTGCAAATTTACCCCCCCCTCCCTTATATGTACGAAAACAATTTGTCATAATCTTGAATTTAACCTGATTATCCTTAAGTCATTTTATGGCCTAGAATAATGAGATAATTTCTCATTCTTTCTATACGGTGTAAATTTTTTTCTCTCTCCTTTATTATCTTGTTTACTTGAACTTTCATTTAATTGACCTTTACTAATCTTTATATAAAATGTCCTGAAAAGTGTATCTATCTATAACAGAGCTTTTTAGTGAGTTGGTTTTCTACAGGATGGGATCACTAACCCCGTGTTCAACCCTTCTCCTTAATCCGGGCTTGGGACCAGCAGTAGCCTCAGAGGGACTCCAGGCGGAGTTATTATGACAGCGTACTTACTAACAATTCAACATCTGTATGAGGTTGTGAAGATTGTTAAGGATTTGATTAAGATCATGAATTGACTGATGTTAAATCACCATTGAAAACCTGTAAGCACTGGACAGCCTTTTCGTCCAATTGTGGGATTCCTCAACAATGCGCATACATGGTTCCACCTCACGAGATTCGAATCCAGGACCTTCGGTCTCGTGTGCGAACGCTTATTATCTCACATTCATTACTACAGAGTCACATCTTATATTAGATTGCATTGCATCATATTACATGTATTTATGAGTAATTTACACAACATACTAATTTAATCCATTCATCTATATTTAATATAACAATTCAGATTCAGAAATTGTCCCGTGAGACGGAGTCGTGGATGTGCACGGTTGAGGAGTCTCACATTAGGACGAAACGGCCATTCAGTGCTTCTAGGTTTTCAATAGTGGTCTAGTTTCAATTGACTCAAGATGTTAATAACAACAATTATTATTTTTACTAGTTCACAAGTAGTTTTAGAGATTAAAACATTCAAACTACAGACATTTTAACGTCATTTATTCATTAATTGTATTTTATCATTCTCTTCTTCTTGATTTCTTTTACTGAATAGGCGTAGATCAATCAAACAATGAACAATACACTTTTTATTACTATAAATCAACATTGACTACAAGTTTCTTTTTTAATCTATCTCTCTCATTAAATATGAATTTCCTTTATTATGTTTCTTTGGTTGTTGTTCTTGTTCTAGTTGGTTGTTTGTTTGAACAGCATGTAATCAGTATGGAGTAGTGAATAAATGTTGATTACTATCAATGGTGTTTTGATTATTTCAACGGTAATATTTAGTAAATACTTCTAATGAAAATGTTATAGAGACCATTTAAAAAAAAATTCAGATACACCTTAAACATTATGGCTTTAAGAGTGAAGGATGTTATTTAGTAATAAGAGATTAGTATTATAATGTCAATGAACACACCAGTAGTATTGTGGTATGAGCTACTTATATTCATATCAGTAGTATATAACGATAGTCAGGAATATAATGTATTTGAGTAGAAGATTGAGAAGCAAAGAATGGGAACAGAAAGCAATTAGTATGAAAATGCAGGAACAATGAAATCTCACACGATGGACTGTTATTTGCAAAACGAACAGTTAAGTTTGAGACAATGGATTGATATTTTGTAGATGAAGTGTTTACTGTATGGTTCTCAGATTTTAGTAAGGTGTTCTGTAATTTTGTGTATGAATACATTCGATTGCCCTTATACGTGTTCTTGTTCACTGTAGTATGTCAGTCATATTGATTAAGTTGAAACTTGGCAATTACATATATAGGTCCTCGGTTCGAATCCCGCGAGGTGGGAATCGTGAATGCACACTGCCAAGGAGTTCTATAATGGGACTGGTTGGCTGTCCAGTGCTTCCAGGTCTTCATTAGTTGTCTAACACCAATCAATTTGAGACCTCAATCAAGAAATAAGAAACGGGAACTTGTTGAAACAATTTATGCTAAGAATTCTATTTTGTACAATCAATGACCATAATAGTAATAATAATAACCGCTATATTTCTAACCCTCTACATAGTATGACCGATATCTTCAGTTAAACTTTGTTGGACAATCGTTAGTATAGAGTTATCACACTAACATTATGACTTTAATGTAAGCGTTGATGTGAAGCAACTCAAGAAAATTAATAATAAAACACTAGTGAAATGAATAACATTTTTCAAACGGGAATATTTATTTTAAGGATGTGAAATTTATGTCAAAACTTCCTACTCCCCACCATCCAATTGTACCCTTTCTCCAACAATCTAAAGCGCCATTTTACTCGGCCAATGAAGTACTCATGATCGGATCCATAAAAGTTCAGCAATATTAGTTTTCGTAAGCGTTGTTTTTAGCCATGTCTTTCCTAAATAGTAAAGCTGATATAATTTTCAGATAGTTGTTTGTTGGTGTAGGATTTTCGATGAAAGCACAACTCTTGAGATAACTGAGAGCTTATGAGGAGTTGATTTGCTGCCGTTTCATGGTACGAGGCAGTCAATGAAATACTCATGATTTTTACATAGAATAAGTATAAATTAGAAAAGGTAAACATTAACAACAAACAACCGCTCAAGCGAAATAAAAGACTGTTTCAAAATAAGTTCTTTATTCATTGGTCTAGTAGTTGTGAATCCTTTTGTTGTCATTGATTTTGTGTATGAAAATTTCGGAAATAGAATAATCCATATGCTACAACGTTTAGTTCAACGATCAAACGAAACGCTACCGATAATCACTTGAGAAATTGCTTTTCAAATAATAAAAGTCATAAAATTTCCACATTCAGTTAGAATTAAATTTCCTTAATGGATTTCAACTAATCAGATCATACATAGAATTGGTACGTCATCAAATCAATAGTTAATTTATAGTAAAAAGTGTAGCCCTGAACCAGTCGCACATATATTTTAATAAATCTTAGAGTAATCACCAGTTCTATAGTATTTACGGTCATACGATCAAAATATATTACTAGGGGTGCAGAAAAATGACCATCGTCAGCCTAAAATTATTCTGAAAACTTTACACTACTTATTAGAATATAAGTAGCTTGAAGGTTTGCCAAGTTTTAGATGCCAATATGGCTACAGATAATCAATCAAGCGATCGTGATTAGAAGAGAACAAACAAAAAGAAACCCAGAACAATTTAGCCGAGTGAAGTGGAACTCATACAAGACAGGGAAATGATTTTAATAGATTCGATAATCGTATACACAATATTTTGAATACTAATGATTACAAGACAGAATTTTGTGAATTAGTATAACTTACAGGCAAATAATTAGGGTTTTTAGGTAGAACTAAACGACCTAATAAGAGTAGAGGATAAACATCTATCATCCTCTGTTGATAAACATATAATTGAGACACGTCATAAGATTGATCTTAACTTGGATTTTGTGGTGTTGTACAAAAGTGTAAAAGGGTGTATACTAAGGTTTATAGAAGCCTTAGCCATATGAAAATCCAAACTCCATTTGTGCAATCAAAAACAGTTTGTTCTCAAATTAAACCTACCCTGGTAATATTAACTAATTGTCCAAACTGTTTTCACATTACTTCTTTATCATCCTTGTCTCCTCCTACCCTCCATTTCTAGTCTAGACTAGTTCTTACCAAGTCAAGAATGTGTAATCAGATTGTTCGAAAAATACTGCATTAATATATCATCATATAGTCCTGATAATCTTTGTCTTCTTATTGCATTATACGAAATTTATCAAAAGGAAGAATTGTTTTAGATTTTTAGGTAAAATTGCTTCGATATTTGAGTACAGTTCAAAATCCCACCATGATAGTTCGCTCATATATTTTATAATTATTATTTGAGTTAAACAAGATTGACCATCATATTCAAACTGTTGTGCACATTTTGGCTTGCAGCATCAAATGTAAACTATGAATATTTGCTTACACTGTATCTGAATAAGAATTCTATGATGTTAAAAGTACTAATGATTGATATGACCCCACTATGGAATAATTCAGTTCGGAATAGTTGTTTTCCTTCAGAAAATAACATAATGATAGTTATATATTTGTAAAACAGTAATGTCAATCCATATAAAGGTTTAAATTAGATGAACTTGTATCCTTTTAAAGGATAACATTATTAACACTCAATCTAACTCCGCCTGGAGCACCTCTGAGGCTACTGCCGGTCCCAAGCTCGGATAAAGTAGGAGTTTTGAGCATTGGGTTAGCGACCCCATCCCATAGAAAACTAACTCCCTAAAAAACAAGAGCAAGAGCAGTATATTTACAACCGGAGAACATCTGAAACTAAAAAAAAATCTGTCGATCAACACCAAAGTCAGAATTCTCAATACAAATCTTTATTAATAGTGTTTATTAACAGTTGTCTACGCAAAATACTTCGAATCTATTGGCCAGACACTATCAGCAACAACCAACTGTGGGAGAGAACAAACCACATTCCAGCGGAAGAATAAATAAGGAAGAATCACTGGAAGTGGATAGGACACACATTGAGGAA